CGCTAATGCTACTAATCATACTACTACTAAAATTATTACTATTATTATTTATGACAACATATGTCAAAAAAAGAATTTTGAAATTCTTATATAAATAATTTATCTTCATGTTTAATTTTTTCATCCAGGCAGTGATGTTTTTCAAACTAGTCAACGATGCAAGAGTGCGATCACTTGATGACAAAGTTGTTAGATACGAGACAAGTTTTAGTGTGAAAAACCCATTTAATAATTTACAAATAACTCTCAGGTTAGTATACAAGATGGACCTTTCTGTTCCTTTAGTACACCTAGTTGAGAATAATCCATAATTCACCTTTCCGGAGTTGATTGTTGACAACAGAATCAGTGGGGGACGATTGGGTGAAACAACTTCGTCATATCGCGTCCTCGATTTTGAAGGCACAATTACGTTGCATTTCAACTTTAGGAAAAGCAAGTCTAGCGACTTGCACGACGAGGAAATCAACAAACATACATGTTCCTTCTGAGTTTATCTCTTCGTTAGTCAAACACAAATAGTCTAGAATCAGTGTCACGCAAGCCCCACACCCAGAAAGAGCAAGCAATTATATCTGATGATTATCGTGCCTTTTAAGGAAGCCCAGAACTGCGTACAAAAGTTTGTTAAAGTTTTGTTTGCATGATCAAAATTCTTGACAGGGAACTTGCTGCTCATCGTTCGGGTTTAATGCGTGAAGCACCGTGCTATCCAATACCGGAAGGAAGTACGAATTTCTGCCCCAATGACTACAACACGATGCTGAACCGAATCAAGAATCTTACTTTGTTAAGAAGCCCAGGATCAAAACCGCAGTACAGGTTAGAATCTCATGATCAGGTATATTCTATAAATACTGTTGTGTTGGTGGGTTCACTTTTAATATTGATGTTTGCAATCCCCTGCTCAATAAAATAAAAATTGAGACAAAGACATGGCAGCCATACTAGCAACAGGAGCCCTATGACTGACTTTGTTAACTGGCCATACTGATGGCTGCGACAACGTACCATTCAAGCATCAATTGCCCTAGTCCCTAACTTTTGGATCTCTTTTCTCTTTTACGAATGCAATGAGAACCCTAAAGAGGAGAACCAACAAACAGCTAGTCCGTGTATGAAAATATATATGAAATATATATTTGTACTGCGGTTGTTATGTATTAAATTGAGCTGATCCTCGCAGTATATGAAGCAACTTATGCAGCTGCAAATTGAAAGACTCAGAAAAAATTGAACGGTATTTGAACCCGTGCCATGRCGATTCCGGTGCCATGCTTGTCCGCTTGGAATAATTTGCAGGTCCGAGTATCAATGGATGATTTATTAATATCTTAATATTTATATATTAATTTCAGTAACCTTGGCTATGGCCTTCTTGGCAGGGTTTTATTTCATTCCTTTTCCTCTTCTGGTTTAAACTTCGATCAATGGATGAAGAATGAACTTTTCTTCAAACTAAACATGATGAATACAACGTTTGCACCATCTAACAGGTATAATGTCTGTATAAATGCTTCTTGATTCAACTGCCTATTTGGATCTTAGGCCCATTGTAATCTCTTAAGAAGCCATTTGGTAAGCGATCGAAGATAAAAACAATTACGGGCTTCGCATTTCAAGCTGTACAATTTTAAAGGAATTTGTAAAAATGACACTTCAGTTAACATAGTCATCTTTCCCGTGGTCAATTTAAAACAAAGAATGACGGGGAATATTTAATAGATAATTACTGAGGCACGCAGCATTCGTAGGTACCTTATACCTACGAATGCTGCGTGCCGAAGTGATTATCTAGTATAATTATTGTTCTTATCAAAATCCAATTGTTTTCTTTCTAGCTTGTTTATCATAGAAACAAAGCCAATAATGAATGAACTAAATATGTCTGATTTTCCTCTATGCATTTGTTGGGATAATGCAGACTGAAAACAATGGATTTTGATAAGATCAGTAATTATATTGTAAGATAAAAATGACTGAAAGGCATTCGTGTTTCATATCTTACTGGAGACCCAAATCAGCAGATAGATAATTGTGACCCACGGAATACATCTTGGTTTAACGTAGGTAGGACGTGAACAATAGTCGGTAATACAGTCAATTTTTTAAACTAAGGTTCCATTTTTACGGATTTCATAACTGACCTTGAGAGTTCGGACGCGTACACGATCTAAGCCCTCTGTATTATTTAAATGTAAGGGATCCCTTTCTGTTGTAATGGATAACGTTTCAAAATATATTTTCAGCCAAAAATTAAAAATGCCGGTTGGATACTTGGATGGTACGTATGTTAACCATATTTATGACTGGGGATGGCTTCAACCTACGGGTGGTATGTTTTCTACAGTCGATGATTTGTCCAAGGTAAAGTGTTTTAATTGTTTCACTCCCGACAGTAGTGTATATCATGATTACAATGTGAAGTTTATGTTTTGTTCCATTCCGGGGTGCATGACCTTTGTGGCTAAATGGTTCTATAAGTTAAGCCCAACAAACAATACTTTTTTATTGCTTTCTCAAAGTGTCGAGGTAAATGTCCCCCAGCTCAGGAAGTGGCTCTCTCACTTAACCATCATTTTCAATGAGCGCAAACGTTCTAGGTTCTAGGTGTGTGTGTTGGGGGGAGGACCACTCTAACCACTCTAATACCATGTGCGTCGGCTGTTAGACTATAAACACTGCTAGCTTCTTGCCTTCAAAAATCCTTCTACATAGCTGCACCTGCTTTAACTAAAGTCACATTGTGGAACTCTAATTATTCTTGGGTTGCATGTTACGTCATAGCCACCATATTTGTTGACGGTGACAAAACATTCTTCATTAGTTTCTGAGCGTGTCAGATAAACCCACATGGGGCTATTTTTAATTTTTTTGAGTCATGTGGCTGCATTGCAAGAATAATTTATAGCATATGTATATAACAGGCCAAAGCAAAACTCGCATTCGTTTGTTTGATAAAAACGTCACCGCAGGTTGTGTAGGGCACTTCTATTCCTCCTTTTCTCTCTGTATGTTTTCTCACTGTATGTTTACTCTGCAATTTGATAATCCCTTGCCCGTGTAGTTTTGGTTCGCTTTTCGTATCATTATCATTGTTTTATTCAGTTAGTTTTTCTTGCTTAGCACTGACTGTATTGTTTACCAATGAGTAAGATCGGTGCTAGCCATGGCCACAATAGACGCTTTGCACCATCACGTGCCGGCGCCCACAATACGGCTTGGACTGCCTGTGGTTAAATGACAGAACAATAAAAACTTTTTGCTCTCGGGAATTGAAATCTTTGTCATGTAAAACGATTGTATTGCGCCTGCTATCTAGCATGACTGCAGTCACGTGATGGTGCAAAGCCTCTATAAGATGTTTGGCTTTTTTCTCCACAGCTGCTAATAGAGCTCATGACTAATAAGGCCAATAATAGGTTACTTTCTACGTCACTGACAGAGGAATTCTTTAAGCCAGGTTAGTAATGCTTGTAGATTTATAACCAAAAAAAGAGGACTATACGGCTGAACTTGATCATTAAAAGCTTGTTTTAAAATAGCCAATCCATGTAATAGCCCACTTTCACTAATTGCTGGTTTTCAATCATTCCAAAGAGCCGACGACACAGCGAAAGACACGACAGGCATGTTGGTTGATATCACAAAAGAGATAGATTGTTAAACTCTTGAAGAAAAAAACTTTTGAACTAAACTAGCAATTATGAAAGCCGGCATCACTAATACTGCAGCCGGTCCGGCCTTTTGGATATTTTGCATTGATAGAGTAGATTTTCGTTTAGAGATGGAGATAGGAGGTCCCTACCGAGATTATCTCCTGAGATTGGATTGAAATTTAAGAGTAAAACCGGAGAAAAGCCCTCGAAGATAGATTAGAATCAACGACAAACTAAACTTCGCAGCTGACATGTCGCAACAAGTCCAGGAATCGACTGAGACCCGGCTTGGAGTGGCAAGATTCGAGCGCGTCCTCACTAGGCCACCCCTACATGATAACTGTAAGTTTTGAATATCGGAAAGATTAATGGTATGTTTCCTTCACATATAGACTATATCTTCCCTGATAGCAAAACCATTATCGGAACCCCGTGGGAAATGAAACAGCACGATGGATATATTATAAGAGAGAAAGCTGGATACATATACGGCTACAACAGTTACGTTGCCATGGTTCCGGAAATCAGACTGGGTGAGTTCTTAATTAATGCACTCTTGTCTTTTTTAACGTAATGTTTTGACTCATTGGGCTAGAATGATTTTAGAATTTAGAACCTATACGAATGTATCATTTAAAGGCTTTACAACTTAAATAATATGCTAAAGGCGGGGTCGATCGTTGGATGTCCTAGTCAATGAAGTCATTTCACAAAACCAGAATGAAAGTTTAGTATGAGAATCTTCAAAAAAATATATATTACGAATGTATTCAGTTGGAAAATGATAATTTTTCCATTTATACGTAAAATCTATTGTCTGAACTCACATAGATTTTATTCTTTACTGATGTGTTGCGTTTTGGTAGGCGTCAGACATGGGAAAAAATTAGACATCTTTTAAAAGTTTAAAAAAGTTTGAAAATAGAAAATTGTTAATTTCAAAGTAGGAGGGTTCGTTTGAGTAAAACCTATAATCCAAATTTAAAAAATACTGCCGGATCATGACAATTTAATCTGTTTAATTACTGGACAACTCTCAAAATACTATGCCCTTTTTTATTTATTTTAAGGAATCAATATGTTCTGTACTGACTGCCAGCAGAAGTTGGGGTCCTCTATTCCGAACTATTTTACAAAGATACTTTCAGTATTCAAAGAAGAATTTGCTCGTGCCTCTGCCAAGGTGAATATCTTAACCGATTGTTTGGGGAGTTTTCTTTTAAAGACTTAGCGATAATGATAGGTCCATTAATATAGCAATGCAGCATTCTGGTCGTCTTGCTTGGGTATGATATATATATATATGCAGCTGGCATTAATTGTTCAACGTTATTCGTTATATATTTGTACCCCGACTAGACCAAAATGCACCCGTACGACTTTAGACTTGGAATTCTTTTACAAAGGCTTTCTTGTTTATTAGACATGACTCACCATATCTTTGACCCTTGAATCTCTGGAATCTGTCTGATTAAAACAGAAATGTCAACCTGAACGGACATGGATGAGCATGGCCTGTCAACGAATTGCACGAAGGATAATTTGATCTAGAATAAACTTACTAAATATTTGTTTTTGTTTTATCTTTCTTTTGTTCTTTTCTTCTTGTGATTGCTCTTGCATTCCCTAGAATTGACACTGACATATTCTCTTTTTCAGAATTTTACGCTGCCACCTGATTCCAAGCCTTTCCTTGGCCAATACAACAGCTCGATACCAACGCTAAAAAGAATACACATCAAGGAAAAACCCGGTCATTTAACGTTTGCTGTAAACGATTATGATTTGTTTTTTATTAACTCCACTGGACCTCTGACGTTTAAAATCAGTGTTAACCCTGCCGTGGACTGTATGGATGCTTTTACCATGGGAGTAGAAAACGAAGTAATTTTCTTTGACAAGCCATCAACAAGAAATGGAAAATCTCCAGGATTTGTTATGTTTGGGGCGAGCGTTGACGGGCGAACTTATTTTACTCGAGAAAACTGATTTTTGTTTTGTATGTATTGGATACAACTATCTACTCTTTTTATTCTATTCATAACATACATCCACTCACTAATATAACCATTGTATAGTTATCAAAAATTCCCGCTCAAGCTAATATATGAGCCAGAGTCTAAAAAAGTTCATAAAATCCCATGTTTCCATATTTAACTATGTACCTCAGCTGCTTTATRATAATATTTAATACTTATATTGCGCATGTAAATACACAATTTTGGGCATGGAGTCAATGTTCCACATTTGCTGTTGTAACAGTGTTAAGAGGATCTTCAACCTCATGTTTGCTATCCACTATAATGGCGGACAATAATTTGGCATGTTTGGTCCATTTTGGTCCATTTTAACACCTTTTGAAAATATCGTATGAATTATTTATGAAGAATGCAAAATAGGTCATTTTTGGCCATTTTTGAACCAAATGCTTGCCCACTGTAGCACACTGTAGAACCTCAAATCATGGCATCGTCTCGATGATCTTGGTCACTGCAAGGCACGTCGATGCTGTATAGTTTTAGAACAATCGAAATTTGCTTACTGAACTACTAGAATGAAAGTTATTATTCATCGCGGAATTTTAATAAATGATGCTTATTTATTTCTCTTACAATTGATGATCATTTGTAGAAGGAACGCGACGTTTCCACTGTAAACTGTAGTTTTCATCAGGCGATGGTGTATTCCGTTATATAACTCTCCGCGTTGGAATACAGGAGGGGTGTCAGGTTTATTAATTTGTATTGAATATTCGAAATTAATCATGCACACTGCCAAACGCACTGGTTTTTATCGAGTAAATTAAATTATCTATAGAGAAATATTATAACTTTTGAGGAAAAGTTTTTGGTACGGAACTGCTTTTCATAGAAAGTAAAAATATGCGATTGTTCGCTAAAAAACGCACCTTAATTCTTGAATTACGTGAATACTTCTAGATCTTCTTTGACTACATAAAAAACGTTTTCTGTTGTTGGGCTAAATTTTTTCCATAGCGATGTTTTCTGTGCATTTGCAAGTTTTCAGCTTTTTTAATAATTATCATTACTCATTCTCAATTATTTTGGAACTGAAAATACTATTGAAAAAACAGTGGAAGAAGTATAGCTATAGACAAAAGAACTGACTTGTAAACGTTGTAAGCGTGATCATGATTTCAAAATCAGTTGATTGAGCGGTCCATACTATTGCTTAGACAAAGACAAACTTTGTAAGTTAACCCGTGATCAGTTAAGAGTATTAACAGAAAAATATTTTGACACGAAACCTAACTTCCGTGCCCGCTAAATTAATCAACATGAACGTTCCAGAAGATATAGCTATATAGGTTCCTGAATTATTATGCTTCGATTCCTTCTTCGGAGACAGCATCTAGAAGCAGTTTATTCCTTCGGTCTTATTTTCAACTCCATTCTTTTCATAGAATAGGTGTGTAACCTTTTCCAAAGAAACCATGTTATTCCCTTACCGAACGCACTACCAGCACCATTGAGGTATAAACCATTGAGGTTGCAGAAGTGACAGCTTGTGTGCCACCATCCACTTGGATATTCATTGGCGCAGTCTCTCGAAGAAGAAGCATCGTTATCACGGTCTTTGGTAGAAAACTGCATATTAGAATGAAGAGACAAAGAATCACCAGCTGTGCCTGAAAACAAATGACAGCAATGGCGTGTCAATCAAATGTGGTGAATGAAGGTATGAATTATGAGGCTCAACTCCATCAATATCGTCAAGAAAATGTCTGTCAAACATCAATATGACCCGATATAGCATCCAATCTAATACACATCGTACCTGTGTACTGTCCAACAGTTAGACGGTAATTAACACTCTCATCAGCCACCTTAAACAATCCATATTCAGCATATCGCGTGTTTCCCTCGAAGTCCTCCATGTCAACTCGCAGGCGGTAACTCCTCTGTGACGTCATCCTGTGGATATTATCCAGTCCCAACCAGTACTCTCCAAGCTTATTCCCAAACCCCCTTTTATAGTCAGCCCAGTTACGGTAAAAATCGACCGAGCCGTCTATTCGTTTCTGGATGACAGTCCATCCTCCTCCACTGGTTACCATGTCACAGTAGACTTGAATTGGGTGAGAAGGACTAGGAGTGATACTGTACACTCCATTAACTGTTCCCCTGTTTTGTCGAATTTCATGGCAGCTYGGAAACGTCGGCAGCTGTTGAATAAAAAAGATTTTGCTAAATAATACTTTATGCAAACCATTTCCAGAAAAATGTGTTTAACTTGACAGAATACAAAGACGTTATGAGAAATCGAAAATAGAGAGTTTTGTATGTATGATCAGTGACTGGAAGCCTTGGTGCATTTTTAAAATGTCAAATGCTCATATCTTGTCCAGGATTTATCACTTTCATTAGAAACTCACACACGTTATATAAATCAGCAAGTTCAATGATTTGAAAGGTTTTTAACTCCAAAAACACTAATTTTCAACTTTTTTTGTGTAAATGAACAGCAGCCATTTATGAAAATTGTGTATGGGTTCCATTTCTAGATGTGAGTGAAGTTCAGGTTAAGCGTTTGTTGTGATATCATCGGACAAAAACTGCGAATAAAAAGCTCATTATCATGTGAGTACGGTGGCCCACAAGGATCACGGCAAAACAAAAGACTGACGGCATAAACATCAAAACTCACGGCACAGCCACCAGTTAAGCAATGTGAACCAGCTTTTAGCCGCTCCTCTTACACCATAACGTTCTTATTTGCCAATCAAAATGCTGTGGTCTACCGTATCAAAGGCTTTACTAAAATCCAGAAAGATTCCACAGGAAAAGTCATGCTCATCAACTGCTTTTTGAATTTTATCAACAATGCTAAGAATAGCATGATCAGTTGGATGCTTTGCACGGAATCCAAACTGTTTGCTGAAAGAATTTCATTTTTGTCTAAGAATTTTAATAACCTGTTGTACATAAGTTTTTCCAGGAGTCGATTGAATACAGAAAGTAATGATATTGGTCGATAATTGTTGAGGGAAAGGTGTGAGCCTTTCATATGAACTGGTATAACACTAGCTGACTTAAGAAAGTCTGGTACGATACCAGCTGAAAACGATGCATTAAACAAGATCTCAAGAGGCTTTGCCAAAACATTTTAAAGTAACTTTAGTAACATGGTTGGTATGCTGAAAGGACCTGTTGCCTTTGAAATATTCAAATTGGAGATTTCTTCTTCAATTTCAGTGGAAGTGACAGGAAAAATATAAAAATTATTACATATTGGAGTTTTCATGAAGTCAAGATGCAGTATTTTTTCTACATTTGGGACATAATTTGTAAGATTATTTCCAATGTTAACAAAGTAGCAATTAAAAGCATTAGCTATCTTTTTGGGATCAGTGATTTCAACATCATTTTCAATAATGTTAGATACAGTTCTCTTGTTTTTGTTATGCTTTGATGGAATTAATGATTTGTCTAATACCCTTCCAAATTCTCTTTGTGTTATCACTATTTTCAAGAAAGAAGTTATAGTAGTACATTCTTTTGCTTGTTTGAACTGTTGAATGATCTGACAACAAAGTATTTGTAAATAAATTATTTCAGTTTATCACTCATTAATTTAAAAAAAGGATCCCAAGAACTGATAAGATAAAAAATATTGGAAAGAGAGTTTTGACAGTACTGATAGAGACAAAAAGCTATAGAAATAGAGCGAGTTTAAGCTTTAATACGTCAATACTTCGAGACGAGTTCGCAAATTAAATATAAATGAAAACAGTGCCGCCGGCTGACCTTCGCTCAGTAAAGTTTTCAGTGTCATTTTTCTATGAGCTACGCGCCTCATCATCTATCTATTGACTCATAGAAAACTCGACCTTCTAGTCTAATTGTTAATTAGAAGCAGTGTAGACTACAAGAAGCGCTTAATATTCCTCGATAAATCTAGTGACATGAACCAAGTGCTCCGTATTATATGCCGAGCGAATACAGACAATCCTTATTCGAATCAGTCCAGACTACMAGAAGCGCTTAATATACCGTAATAAAGTTAGAATAGTTTGATTCCATTAGCTGTAGCCAGTTATCGTTTTTTGGTGAAAGTTTGGACTGCCGGGCATTTAGTCAATTTTAGACCGCGATAAGCTGCCGGGCATTTAGCCACAGCCTTTCAGTAAACATTTTCATCGCTTATACTGAAAACGATAGAATTTTGGCAATAATTACGGCAATAAACTTTGCCACCACCACCATCACCATCAACACAGCCACAACAACCACGAACTACAAAAAAAAAAAACCAACAACAAAAAAACAATAACTACAAGAACATTTAAACATCTTCAAGTGGTTTGATCTACCTGCAATGTGGTGTGGTCAAACTCCTGATCGTGTTGCAAGGCGTCAGGTTGGCCGTACATATCACTAGTCATCAGTTGACACGARTGAAGCCCGTTCGTTGGTTGTTTCTTAAAGTTAACAGATGTACACGAGTCTGCCATACGAGTACACTGATGAACACAACTCATCCTGTTGTGGACGTTCACTGTTYTATACTTGGASTTSRAAAGCTTTCGATTYTTTGCAGTCGAACTGAATTGTCTGTTGTGAGTGTTTTCAGTAAGTAGTTGTGGAAACTCATGAAAGTGCTGTTGATCACAATAACAACGGTAAAGCACTNCAGTCGAACTGAATTGTCTGTTGTGAGTGTTTTCAGTAAGTAGTTGTGGAAACTCATGAAAGTGCTGTTGATCACAATAACAACGGTAAAGCACTGTTTGAAGGAAGAAATAGAAACTTAAAATCTTGAGAACCTGAGACATGACTGACTACAACTGTTGAGGATGCAGCTGCTTGTAGGATTGGAATCGGTATTATTGAAATAATCACAAAGCTTTCATTGTGTGTGTTTGTGAATCGTCGAATATGATTCAGAAAGGAAAACCAACGACTAAATTGTTTCTGCGCAACAAGATATCGATTATTTTAGCTGACCTTAGAGAATAACTAAAACCAATCCACTGAAGTCCACAGTATAGATAGAACAATCATTTAAAGTATATATTTTACCACTAATGTAATTTTTATATTGCTTCCTGATTTAATTGGTCGAGAGCCCTAATAAATACGGCTACATAACTGATATCATAAAAATAATTAAGAGGACATTCTACCGTCTAAATGATCGGAAATTTATATAGACACCCATTCACAATGAAAAACTTCCTGAACGTGCGCGCACAAGGGAGCGGGAAAAGATTGCAAAAGAAGTCATCGATATCTTCACTTGCGAGGATATAAAAAATATACCACTGAGGTCCCAGGTGTAGTTCGTATGAAATATGCCAGTGCCGTATTTCCCAGTAAAACGCTAATGTGTATAATATATAAATTCAGGCACTGCCTAAAAGCGGAGCTCGCAATAGGCACAGGGAGTCCAATTTAGATAAAACTGAAATGTGCAAATTTTTCGAGAAACAAAATGAGGCGCCTCATTCACGAAAAATAAGACAGAACAAGAGCTGATTTACGTGTACACGCATATTCAAATATCGTTATTGAAATTAAGTCGATCCGCGCTAATGATGTGACTTGTGGTGTTGATGAAAGTACAATACACGTTATTGATACAACTATTGGCACAAATGAATGTATATTTTCTGTTAATGAACAGCAAAAGTTGTATACTACTAATTTTTGTACGGCGGTATATTACACTTGTACAACACTGCTTTAGAGCAAACAGAATATAGAGTACATTTATTTCACGTATATCATTAACAAGGAAATAACAGCCAATTTTAACGACATTTATGAGCAGCAAACAGGATTATTGGTCATTTTCTTTCTCTCGGTTCAACCTTGGCTGCAAAACTAGATTTTCTTGGCCGTATTTAATAGCACTTTGATTTTGGTCAAATAAGGTGAAAATTGTTGAACTTGGATTATCTTTCACTGACCCCCTTAGAGACCTCGCTGTGCTCTATCAAATAAAGAAAAATGTCAGACAAGGGGAGAGAAGGGCCACTAGGTATGTATATGTTATCAAATCCTTGATATTGTTAAACAAAAAATACAAAAACGCTATATCAAGTATCAAAAGAATTACAAATACATCCATTTAAAGTGCTACTA